TCCATCCGGGGAATCTGGGATCACAACCTGAGCCGAAGGCAGACGCATAAACCGACTGAGCCACCCAGGCACCCCCACCTGGAATATTCTTTATCTTCCTTTATTTAAATCCTTAATCTCCAAGACCTGGGGAATGACAAGTAATAGAAAAGAAAGGAAAGCAGAATGAACACCTTCTGCAGGGCTCTGTCCAGTAAAAGAGTCAAAGTAAAAATCGGAATTAGATGTTTGCCCAGGGGCTCATCCCTTAGGTATTTGGCAGGGAGGTGCCTAAAGTAAACATCAGCTTGAGCTTTTGTTCTATAGAGACGTTGAAGAGTGTCTGCTAAATATGAAGAAGCTTCGCCGGGTTCCTGTGTTCCATTGTGGAAAGTGCGCAGGTTTGCTGGCTGTTGTTTGAAGGGAGGGATTATGATTCTCCCAGATCTTTTCACAGCAGTGAGAACATCCAGGAGGCGGTGTAATGTGATGGACACCGGGTGGAACTGGCAAGTCTGAAGAGTTGGCTTCAGACCCCAGCTGTTCCTCTGACTGCCGGGTAACCTGAAGAAGACACTAAACTTCTTGGTTCCCTGGGGTCTGTGTAGTGAGAATGACCAGGGTGTGAGTGGGTTTGGACAGCCTGGTCGAGGGTAGGCTAGCAGTTAAAGGCCAATTCTAGCTCAATATTGATGAGAACAGTAAAAATGAGCACCGTCTAAAAACAGGATGGTATCATAAAAATAAATATTTGGTAATTTTCCCCCAGTTCCTGGCATACAGCTCCTAAAACCCTGGGAATCTCCAGAGTGCTAAGAATGTCTTTTATATGCTAATATCTGCTGGCAAGGGGTGGGGGGGTAGGTAGCTTCTGGATGGGAGCTGGTTGCCTGAAAGGCCAAAGCACCATTGGAGGGTTGGACTTTCAACCCCACCCTCTGACCTCCAGGGAGGGGAGAGAGGCCAGAGGTTGAGATCAGTCACCAATGGCCAACAATTTAATCAATTGTGACTACATCTAGAAACCTCAAAAACAAAACAAAACAAACAAAACCTTCTAAGCAGCAGGGGTTCAGAGAGCTTTCAGGTTGGCAGCACATCAGGGTGCTAGGAAGGCAACATGCCTAGAGAGAGTATGGAAACCCTGTGCTCTTGCCGCATGCCTTGTCCTATGCATTTCTTCCGTTTGGCTGTTCCTGAGTTGTACCCTTTATAATAAATCTACAGTAAGAGCAAGTAAAGTGTTTCCCAGTTTTGTGAGCTGTTGGAGCAAATTATCAAACCTGAAAGGGGAAAAAGGGTTGTGCGAGACCCCCCCCCCCGTCTGACTTTGTAGCCAGGTCTGACAAAAGTGGGCAATTTGGGGACCCAGTACTTGTAACTGGCAACTCAAGTGGGGCAGTCTTTGGGACTTAGCCCTTACACCCATGGAGTCTGACACTAACTCGGGGTAGTCAGTGTCAGAATTGAATTGAATTGTAGGACCCCCAGCTGGTGTCCACAGAGTTGGAAAATTGGTTGACACGAGGACAAAACACTACACATTTGGTGTCAGAAGCCTTGTGAGGAAAAACAGCTGAGCTGTATGTTACCAGTCTCCAGAAATGTTCTGACACACAGCCAGCTCTGGGCCAGGCTTTGTCCCACACTAGAGACATGCTTGTGAACAGACCCCACTGCTGCCGTCTGGTGGCTTATAGTCAATCACAGGGGACAGCCAGCATTTCAGCGTGGCTATATTGATTATGTAATGATAGTCCTGAGATGTGTCCTGAAGGAGAAAGACAGGGTGACTTGAGAGTGTCAGACAGGATCTGATCTAGACAGGGGAGTTCAAGGGCAGCTCCCTGAGAAAATAATCTTGGAGCTGGGAGCTGAGGGCCAATCATGAGTTAGCTAGGTGGGAAAGGTGGAGGTGATGTAGGAAAGAACGTTAGGGTTCGAAGCCTTGACTGCCAAGAAAGAATTCTTGAGATGTCTTTGGTGCAAAAACGTGATTTTATTAAAGCACGGGGACAGGACCTGTGGGCAGAAAGGGCTGCAATGGGGTCATGAGGAGTGGCCCATTATATACTCTCAAGTTGGGAGGGGGTTAGAGATAGCGTAAGTCTAAAATTTTGGAAGGAGGGTTTCCAGGACCTTGAGGAGGTAGGCCATATGCTTGGCAGGCGATTGCCAACATGTATCTTGGGGGGTAGATATGAAGTTTCCAAAAGAATTTTTATATGTTGAAGTAGATTTACAGGATCCTGTGGAGGGGGAGGTATTGGGCTAGGATTGCCTGTTGCCTTAGCAAAGCATTAACATGGGGGCAGTTGAGTCCACAGAGGACTGTCACTCCGCCAGTTTCAAGCACTTGTGAGTGGGCTGTAGTGAGTAAGGGATTTTAATCATTTTTCTTCTGCCTTTGTTTCCCACATCACTGGGATAGAGGAGAGATGGCAGGGTGCCGGCGGGGGGAAGGCGGAAAGGATGGCTTGCTGGTGGCTGTGATGAACCTCACCCCTGTTCGTTCATGCATTCATCTGTCCACTCATTCAGTCATCCAACAAACCTTGATTGATCACCTGGTCTGGGCCAGTACTGTTCTTGGTACTGAGGACAGAAGAGTAGGAGCAAGCCGGACAGAGTCTCTCGCTTCATCACTACCCCGCTGTGAACAAATCATCCCAGAACTTGGTGACTTAAAACCTCTGTCATTTTACTGTTATCCTCATGATCTGGAGGTGGACTGGGCCAGCTTGTGTTTATCACTCGGGTCTCGCACAATTATTCAGGCACCAGCCGGTCTGGAATCACCCGAACGTTCCCTTACATGTCTGAAGCCTGGGCTGGGAAGCCTCAAACAGTTGGGCGTTCCTGTCTCTGGGTGACCTCTCATGTGGTATTTCCAATATGATAGCTTCAGGGCTCCAAAGCAAGTGACCTGAGAGAGACCAAGCCAGGTAGAATCTCATGGACTCTTCTGACCTGGTGTCAGAGGTCGCACAGCATCATTTCTCTCCCATTCTATTAAGGTAGTCCTGAGGCTCTAGAACCACCACACTCATGCCCTGCTCTCCCTAGCTTTTCATCCTTGGCTTTTTTTTTTTTTTAAGATTTATTTATTTATTTGAGAGAGAGAGAGAGAAAGTACCCACATGAGTGGGGGGAGGGGCAGAGGGAGAGAATCTTCAAGCAGACTCCCTGCTGAATGGGGAGCCCGACACTGGGCTCAATCTCACAACCCTGAGATCATGACCTGAGCTGAGACCAAGAGTCAGACACTTAACCAACGGAGTCACCCAGGTGGCCCTCATCCTTGGCTTTAAACCTACCTGCCGGGGCGCCTGGGTAGCTCAGTTGTTAAGCGTCTGCCCTCGACTCAGATCATGATCCCAGGGTCCTGGGATCGAGCCCCGCTTCTGGCTCCCTGCTCTGCGGGAAGCCTGCTTCTCCCCCTCCCACTCTCCCTACTTGTGTTCCCTCTCTCACTGTGTCTCTCTTTGTCAAATAAATAAAATCTTTAAAAAAAAAAAACAAAACAAACCTACCTGCCTGGCTCTGCTCACCAGAGTTCTCCAGAGGAGACAGTCTTATGGCCTGCGTCCTGGCTCCAGCATGCCCCTTGGAGGGTCCCACCTTCTTCCCCTGCCTCAAATGGCTCCAGACAGTCATAGTTTTCTTCATCTCTGGCTCTTTCTTGCAGGGAGGGGGGATGATGCCTCTTGCAGACTGGTACTCCAAGCATCTGCCCAGCTGACTCACCTCCTAATTGGGTCATCACAGGACATACATGATCACAGACACCAAGTCCCCAAAGAGCAAGGCTCTTTTGTGGGGCTAAGAGATTGCTAGAATGACTGGAGGGCTATAGTGTGGGGCTGAGATGAGCCTGGACTGACACTGGGGCCTTGTAGGCCATGGGCAGGGTTTGATCAGGATCCCAGGAGTATTATAGGAAACTGCTAAAAGCCCAAAGTTTTGATGACCACCTGCCAGGGATATTATAGAAGACAGTCCTACGATCTCATTTAATATTTGGAATCTGAAAAAAAAAATAAATGAGGTCAGAGACACAGAGAACAGATTAATGGTTGCCAGGTGGGGATGGGCAAAATGGGTGAAGGGAGTCAAAAGGTACAAATTTCCGGTTATAAAATAATTAAATTATGGAGATTTAATGTATAGCATAGTGATTATGGTTAGTGATACTGTATTGTTTATTTGCAAGTTGCTAAGAGTGGATCTTAAAAGTTCTCATATAAGAAAAAAATAACTGTGGTGATGAATGTTAACTATGGTGAGGAATGTTAACTAGACTTATTGTGGTGATTGTTTTGCAATATGTACAAATATTGAATCATTATGTCATGCATCTGAAACTAATACAGTGTTATATGTAAATTATACCTCACTGAAAAGACGACGACAAACCTCTGGGAAGAACAAGATTTTGCATTATGTTTTTAAATTAACCTGTTAGAATGATTTCTTTTGCTTACAGAAGATGACTTTTCAGGTGTGTTCCTAATTTCAGAAGAGGAAGCATAGATCTCTATCCTGATTAAACACGTTATAATAACGTCAGTGATTCGGCAGTCGTGGTTAGTTATGACAGAGTTGGTGGGCAGAGCAATCTTCCGTGGCTGACAGGGCTCACAACACTGTTAGCTGAACATGGCCTGCAGCAAACATTCCTACCATCATGCTGTCCTGTAACACCCAACTAATAGTGCAACAGTTAACAATGAATAGTGCCCAATTAATAACCAGGAAACCTTGGAAGATGACTAAATATTACAGGATAGCTCTTTGCTCTTTTAGTAGACATACTGAGAAACTCAATTTAGAAACTCAATTTTATGATGATAATACAGAATAAGTATTTTTTCATTTAGTTTAAGTTTGTGAAACTGATGTGTAAACAAAGATCATGACCACCCCGGTGCTTGGCATCCTCAGAAGCACTTGTGTGAACAGCTTCTTCCCCATTTCTCATTAATTAAGTACCACTGACTTTTTTTTTTTTTTTTTTTTAGAACACCTAGTGATTTACAGGTAGGCATGGCCCCCTCTGGAAGACTTGAAAGGGTCTACCATCTACCAAGTGACATCTTTGTTTCAAGGCCTCTACCTCCCTCAGCTTCAAGTTAGGTTTCAAGGTAAGTATCATATTCCAGATGACAGAGTGTTTTAAAGATGTAAATGACCAAAACTCTCCTGAAAATGTTGCTTGATAATAAGTTTATGGGGCTTGCCCCAATCTGCATTTGAATATTCCTAGAAAACTCCCCTTGCTCCAAAGCAAAAAAATTGATTTTATTGGGGTATTGGTATATTTTCAGGTGGGTAGCAGACCAAAAATGAAAAGAAATTAACCATAACTCAGGTGTTTTATATATATTATTTTGTTTAACCTTTTTTTCTTTTTTTTTTAAGATTTTATTTATTTATTTGACAGAGACACAGCGAGAGAGGGAACACGAGCAGGGGGAGTGGGAGAGGGAGGAGCAGGCTTCCCGTGGAGCAGGGAGCCCGATGCGGGGCTCGATCCCAGGACCCCGGGATCATGACCTGAGCCGAAGGCAGACACTTAACGACTGAGCCACCCAGGCGCCCTTCAACTAGAATTTTTTTAAAAAGTACAAAAGGGGGGGGGGGAAGGCACAAAAAGCAATTCAAAAGTACAAGGATATACAATCAAGTATCCCTACCACTCATGTCCCTCAGTAACCCAGGTTCCTCTCCCCAGAAGCAACCAACACACACCACTTCGTTGGATATCCTTTCAGAAATACTGCATTTATAACCAAGTAAATACATACAGTCTACTGCCTTCTTTTTTATTTTATTTTATTTTTTTTTAAAGATTTTATTTATTTATTTGACAGAGAGAGACACAGCGAGAGAGGGAACACAAGCAGGGGGAGTGGGAGAAGGAGAAGCAGGCCTCCCGCGGAGCAGGGAGCCCGATGCGGGGCTCGATCCCAGGATCCTGGGATCATGACCTGAGCCCAAGGCAGACACTTAACGACTGAGCCACCCAGGCGCCCCTTATTTTGTTTAATCTTTATCAAAAGCCTATATATATAGACAAGTATAAGGATTTGTGTTAAGCTGCTGTAACAAATTCCTAAATTTCAGCGGCTTAACATGGATTATTTTTCCCATATAAAAGCAGTCCAGCTTGGTTCCAAGACAGTGGTATCAAGGAGGGGGGTTCATGAGCTCCATACAGGGATCTGGGGACCCAGGCTAGTGGAAGCTCTGCCTTCTATAATTTGCTGCTCTCAAGTGTGCTTTTTTCCTTTGGATTATTTTATTAACACTGTACATTTCTATTATTCAACATCAAGTTATATCCTATTTTCTTTCCCTTTCAGCTTTATCGAGATACAGTTGACATATAACATTGTGTTAAGGTGTACAACGTAAAGATTTGATATGGGTATATGTGTATGTATTGTGAAATTATCACAAGTTTGGTTAACATCCATCTCCTCACACATTTACAATATTTTTTCTTGTGATGAAAACTTCTAAGATTTACTTTTTTTTTTTTTAAGATTTTATTTATTTATTTGTCAGAGAGAGAGAGAGCATAAGCAGGGGGAGCAGCAGGCAGGGGGAGAAGCAGGCTCCCCATTGAGCAGGGAGCCCAGTGCAGAATTCGATCCTACGACCCTGGGATCATGACCCAACTGGAAGGCAGATGCTTAACCAACTGAGCCACCCAGGCGTCCCAGTTTTTATCTTTTTTAAATTTTTTTTTTTTTTAAGATTTTATTTATTTATTTGACAGAGAGAGAGAGAGAGAGAGCGCACAAGCAGGGGGAGCAGCAGAGGGAGAAGGAGAAGCAGACTCCCCCTGAACAGGGAGCCCAGTGCGGGGCTGGATCCCAGGACACTGGGATCATGACCTGAGCTGAAGGCAGACGCTTAACCATCTGAGCCACCCAGGCGCCCCTCAAGATTTACTCTTTCAGCAGCTTTCAAGTATGCAATAGAATATTGTTAACTGTAGCCACTGTACTATCCATTATATCCCCAGGACTTACTTATCTTATAACCAGAAGTTCGTACCTTTTGACCACCTTCACCCATTTCCCCTAACCTGCACCCCTGCCTCTGACAGCCATCAAACTCTTCTGTTTCTAGGAATTTGGCTTTTTTAGATGCCACATATAAGTGAGACCATTTGTTTTCCCCTGTCTAACTTATTTCACTTAGTGTAATGGACATTTCACTTAGCATAATGCCTTCAAGGTCCATCCATGTTGTTGCAAATGATAGGATTTCCTTCTTTTTTTAATAACTGAATAATATGCCATTTTATATATATATATATTCCACATTTTCTTTATCTGTTTATCTGTCAATGGACACTTAAGTTGTTTCCATGCCTTAGCTATTATAAATGTGGGGTACAGATATCTCTTCAAAATACTGACTTTGTTTCCTTCAGATGTATACCCAGAAGTGGGATTGTGGGATCATAGGGTAGTTCTATTTTTAATTTTTTGAGGGACCTCCGTACAGTTTTCCACAGTGACTGCCCCAGTTTGCATCCCCCAAGTAGTGCACAAGGGTTCCTTTTCTCCATGTTCTCCCCAACACTTACTATCTCTTGTAATATAGCCATTGTTTTGATAATAGCCATTCTAATAGATGTGAAGTGATATCTCACTGTGGTTTTGAATTGTATTTTGTATCTCTCTGTAGATCAGGAATGTTGAGCATCTCTTTATGTACCTGTTGGCCATTTGTACATCTTCATTGGAAAAATATTTATGCAGTTCCTCTCCACATTTTTTTAATCAAATTGGGGGGGATTGTGGTTTGGGGGGTTTTTTTGCTATCAAGTTTTATGAGTTCTTTATATATTTTGGATATTTTATTCTTTTTGATGTGATTGTAAGTGGGATTATTTCTTAATTTCTTTTTCTGAGAATTTGTTGTTAGTGTATAGAAGTGCAACTGATTTTCGTATACTGATTTTGTATCCTGCAGCTTTACTGAATTCATTTATTAGCTCTGACAGCTTTTTGGTGGTTAGGTTGTTTATATATATATATATCATACATATATATATATCCATCCCTGCAAATAGAGGCAAATAGAGACAGTGTTACTTCTTGCATTCAGATTTGGATGTCTTTTATTTCATTATCTTACTTAATTGCTCTGGGTAGGGTTTCTAGTACTATGTTGAGTAAAAGTGAGAGTGGGCATCCTTGTCTTATTCCTGATCTAAGAGGAAAAGCTCTCAGCTTTTCACCATTGTGTATGATGAGTACCATTGACTTTGAGGCTTATGTTTAATTACAGCTTTAATGTAAGCCAAATCAAAGTTTTAGAGCTTATAACAGTGCTAGTCCCTACTTTACTGGAAGGAAGTTTGGACTAGATAGCAATTCAGATTCCTTCCCAAGCTAAATGTCGGTGATTCTGTGTGACAATGCCCTTAGCTCTGTTTTTGTAGAGTTTGTAAGTGCAAAGGCGCCGCCCCCCCCTCCAAAAAAAAGTTTTGAGAGCTTATTTTGGGATCTGAACCAGAGAATCCTTGGATCTCAGGTACATGGAGGGCTCCTAGAGGTCACCCACGTGTCAGTCCCCCGCAGCATCGCCAGCAGGTGACTACCCACACTTGACCACCTCCTTGAGCAGGAGGACTCATTCTGTACTGACACTGAGGCTGCCAACTTCCCACTGAACCATCCAGAAGTTTTCTAAAACATATTTTAAGGGCATGGAGTTCCTGCCCTGGGCACAGGCAGTGATGGTCCACAGGGGACCTGGTACTCCGTGCCTCATCATGATCGAGTCATGGAATGAGCTGGCATTGAGCACCAGGTTTAGTCAAAGCTCTGTAGGTAAGTGTGCTTCCAGCCTGAAAAAGCCCTCATTGGTCAAAACACCTTGATCTGTAGCATGCATCAGTGCCCCCAATCATGCGTCCATCTAGAACAAAATCCCATTTCTGTGTAGTTTTGTTAACCTGAAAAACACAGCTTTCAGAAAGGGGCTGTGGCAAGCTGCACTTCCAGACGGGCCTGATTCACATTGCACTGCTGGGATTCTCAGGCCCTCTGAAGCTCTTTTTATTTTTTGCCCGTAAAATTTGGCTTTTACCCCGCAAACCTTCGTTGTACATTTGTATTTCTCATTTTACAACCCTGCCTATTGAATGTTTTGTGCTTTCCTTGACATCAAACAAACTTTTAGTTGACACAGTTTGCTTGCAAAATAAAAAAGAATCAGCTCTATTTTTTTAAGTGGCTTTGTGGTGAGTAAATCATGCCAACTGCATGTTCTCCCATTTTTTGTTGAGGTACTTATAGTTGCTCTTGATATTCTAAAGTCAGAATATGCCAATTTCAGATGTTGCTGCTGGTGCAACTTTAAGGAGCAAAGCGGTGACATTGGACGGAATGCAGGCTTCTCCCATAGGATCCGAAAGAGAGCTCTGAGGAGTACGTAAGATTGGAAATCCTGGCTTGACGAATTAGTTATTTCAGTCTGTTCCGGTCCTGAGAAGTGATCAGACACCTTGACAGGTTTATCCTTTGTAGAGCTGGGGGGAAAAACCTCAAAGGAGAGAGGGGCAGGAAGGTACAGTTCAGAAATGGGGGGAAAAAAACCCTAATATTTCAGGGATTAAAAATACTAAATCTGTAGATTATCTGCCTCACATCCTTTCTGGAAAGAAATGGTAGGTAAATAATTCATGTTGCATATTTAAACACATGTAAAATATAGAATAAACGGTCTTGTTGGTAGGACATGCTATGTGAGGGATGCTGCCCTCCCGTTTGTCACCGCGGAATTATACCTGAGCAAACCAGCACTGATGTCCCTTAAACATATAATTAGGACTGTATGTGCTTTGATTGCTAGATCTGACAAGTGCTGGTCCTGTCATTATTTTTTAGGATAATTGTGTGTGTTGTCCAATCTTCTCCGGTTGTGGGTTATTGCAGACATCCCCTTGCTCCCTTGTTCCTAACAGAACTCTGATTCTGTGCAGGCCTCCACCCTCTCCCTTCCTCCATGGGCCTCTGCCAGGAAGGAGGTGAATCCCAGTTGGTTTCACTCAATCGCTGTGGTCCATTCCCCGTGCCAGTGATGAGTTTGCGCGTGGGCTCATGACACTGTTCTGGCAGTTGGACATCAGGGGAAGCCCGCTGGAGGGTTTCTGGGAAAGCCTTCCTTGCTTCCAGGAGAAATGTGCAGGATTGTCCCTTCTCCCCCTACAGATTGCCCAGTGTGACTGTGATACCAGCCAGTGTGGCCACCATCTTTAAATCCTGGGGGGAAGTCATCCTAGGGAGAGGACAAAGACAGGATGGCAGAGAGACCAGAGACGGAGAGAGCCTCGCCCCCCAATGACGCTGTTGGGGTGCTGAATTAACTAGCATTGGAGCCGCCGTTCCTCACACTATGACTCCTAACGTGGAGAATATGGATGAGTCCCTTTGCGTTAGTGAGGTTTTCCTGCTACCTGCACCCAAGCCATCTTTGTAGATGAATAGATAATTTAAGATAAAATAAAAAAATAAGGGCACCTGGGTGGCTCAGTTGGTTAAGCGACTGCCTTGGGCTCAGGTCATGATCCTGGAGTCCCGGGATCGAGTCCCGCATCGGGCCCCCTGCTCAGTGGGGAGTCTGCTTCTCCCTCTGACCCTCCCCTGTCTCATGTGCTCTCTCTCTCATTCTCTCTCTCCCAAATAAATAAATAAAATCTTAAAAAAAAAAAAAAAGAAAAGAAAATGGTTGGGCGCCTGGGTGGCTCAGTTGGTTAAGCGACTGCCTTCGGCTCAGGTCATGATCCTGGAGTCCCGGGATCGAGTCCCACATTGGGCTCCCTGCTCGGCGGGGAGTCTGCTTCTCCCTCTGACCCTCCCCCCCTCATGCTCACTCTATCTCATTCTCTCTCTCAAATAAATAAATAAAATCTTTAAAAAAATAAAATAAAAAATAAAAATAAAACTCAAAAAGAACAACGTTTATTACAACCATGACTCATGTGTATCATACCTAAGAGTGACATTTTAAAATGTGTGATGAGATTTTTCTGCCGGATGCAATTTGTCATGACTGTGTGTTTATTCATCACTGCCTACGGAGGGAGCCCCCACGAAGAGGACCAGTGTCATTTAGTGCTAGTGGCAGGTCCTAGTTAGGATATTGGTTTGACTGCTTCGACAAAAGTGAAATAACAATGATTTTAAAAGGTTGTGAGATTGTTTCTTCTCTCCCAAAACAGTTTGGGCTGGTAGACGGTCAAGGAAATGGGTAGTCTGGCCCATGAGGTCATCCCGGGTTCTTCTCTGTTATCCACTAGGATATTGTCTCCATGGGCATCAAGAAAGCTGGCTTCCCACCATGCCAGTGTTTCAGAGCCTGGGAAATGGTGAAGAAGGAAGTTCAGAATGAGATAGGGCAGACAGCCTCCTTTTGACCCAGAATGGCATATAATACTTCCAATCGCAACTCATTGGCCCAAACTTGATCATATGGCAACAACTAGTTGCAAGGGACTCAGGAAAATATCATCTCTAGCTGGGTGGCCGTGTATCCAGCTAAAACCTAGAGGATTCCCTTAGGAAGGAAAAAGAGCAGACAGACACTGGGAGACAGAAGCATCTGCCACACATAGTATGTCCTCTACAGGGGGAGGCAGCACGTAACAAGGAGAGCGTGCCGGGTGCCGCTCAGATTGTGAAGCAAGGATTCGAGTTACTAGAGCCAGTCTCCCCGAGCAGCCTGGAGCCTTTGCCAGTTCTGATCTGTCCTGGCCTCTCTTCTGGTCAACCAAAGGACTTGAATCAGGTGATGTTTAAACCCCCTCCCAACTCTGACCTTCTCTGGCAGGGTCCTGCAGACCTTCTATTTCTAGAGTGGGGGCAGAGATGAAGGGGAATCAGGGTGAGTACCTCACACGTGGGTCGTAGGTATTAAAACTGTAGGAGAAGTCACTGCTAACTTACTTGGCACTTAATTAGGAGCCAGGTACTGTGCTGGGTCCCTTAAATCTGTTAACTTCACTATCCCTAACACAGTATGTGAGGTGGAGCCTGTGGTTGTTCCCATTTCATAGGTGGGGAAACTGTGGCTCCCTAAGGGTTTAAGAAAGGCTCCAGCCCTAGCCAACTGATCCCTGAGCCCACACGCTTAACTCCGTGTTGTGGGAAGGGCTGGGACATGAGGTGGGATTTGTGGGGCCTGATGCTCCCCTTTATCCAGGGCCAGTTTGGGGGTCAATCTGCAGCGTTGAAGGGCCCACTGCCCCATTACCTCAGAGCCAGGAGATGGCTCCTGTCACTTCTGTCACATCTGTGCGTGACGTAGCCATGGGTTACGTCACCTTTCACTACTCCAGGGGAGAAGACCAGCTGTTCTTTAGGAGGAGAGTACCCTGGTGAGAGAGGAGCCCTGGGAGGGTCAGCCGTGGGGCAAAGTGCAGAACGCTCAAGGGGAGAACCACCACGCACCCTATAGGCATCCTTTAAGCTGTCGCCCCTCTGAGAGGAACACGGAAACCTCTGGCCTGCTCCTGTCCTGTATTCCCAAAGGAGGCTGGGGCTGGGAAGACACTGGACCCTGGCCCCAGAAAATGAGGGTCAGTCCAGGAAGTCAGCCTGTCCTTTAAGCTGGCACTAATTGGTGGCATGGATCCTGGGATCACACTCCCCCTGCTCTGACCTGGAAGTCAGGGGCTTTGTGCCAAGAGGGGGCTCTAGGGAGGGAGTGGGCATCAGTGCATGTACTGTCTGGTGCCCTTGGTGATAGGACTCCTGGGGTCATCAGGCAGGCTGGCCTGGGCAAGGGGAGTGAGACCATTGCAGCTCACCTGGCCCTGGGGAGCCAGCTTTCCCCGGGCACAGCAGCCTCACTGCATGTGCAGCTGGTGTGGGGTGCCTGGACTAACCCACCTCCCTTCTGTGGCTCCTGACACTCACAAACAGTGCCACACACCCCGCCCCTTTGCCCCCCAACAGTCCATACAGTCTCACTTGGCGCTGTCTCTTTGGTTCCTTCTGTTTTCTTAAAATGCAATTATAAACGCACCAGCTCCAGTCTGCTCTTCAAGACTGAGCTCTAGCTGAGCCTCTTGCAGGAAAGCTATCCTCCCTCCCTGGGGTTTGACTGCTGGGTCTCCTCCTCCTACTCCCGCTTCTGCCTCACGGCACTGGTTCCATATGGTGTAATGGTCTTTTTACTCATTGTTCCACTGACCAGACTGTGAGCTTCCTTTCTCTTTTTTTTAACTTTTAATTTCAAACATACACAAAAGCAGAGAGGATCATATAATACATCCTCAAGGATCCATCAACCAGTTGTTAGTTTTGCCCGGAGTTGTCAGCATTTTGCCACTCTTGATTTATTAATGCCTCTTCAACCTGCCCCCTCCCCAATATTTTAAAGCAATTCCAAGATCTTGTATCATTCTGCCATAGATACTTTTGTACATTTCAGCTGTGAGCTTCAAGATGGCGGAACTGTGTCCTGAATCCCGTGTTCTGTGTCCACAGCACTGTGGATGATACCCGACACATATTGGATCTTGAGAAATAAGGTGGTTTTGAATCAACTGATTGACCAGATGAGCGACTTGGTTTCAACCTTTGGAACTGAGCATGCACACTAGCTGGAATTTGAGTAACTGGAATGTGAATAACTGCTAGGAATCCACAGCTTCCTTGGTGTCTGCCCTGCGGCCTGGGGGTTTCTAGGAGGTTCTGAAGTCTGTCCATCATTCCTCAGACTTTAAGGTGGGTTTATTTTTAGCCAAGCATCTTTGGTTTTGCAATTAAACTCTACGTTGAGGTGACATTGGATAGAGAGGACTATTAAGATGTAGCTTTTACCTTTGCTTGGTTCATATTTAGATGGAATATCTTCACAATTATAGCCTTAGGTTTTTTTTTTTTAATTATAATATCGTATTTACTTAGGCCAAAGTGATTAAGACCCAAAAAATCAAAGTATAGAATACATCTAAAGCATTTTTTTTAATAACATCTTTCTATTTCTGGTAATGGTATTGTAACTACACAAATAAGAGATAATTAAATACACATTTTTCTTTCAAGCAGTTGTGGTCATATTTAAAACCCTAAATTCTGTATACTTTGAAGGGGACCCTGAGACCAGAGTCATTAGACGTGGCATTTCTCACTCTTATGAGGTAAAAATCAGACCAGGGCTTGGGCTTTGGAAATTTCTGGGGGTAGAATGGTAGTTTGTAAAAATGCCTTTGACATGTTCCTTTTTCCTCTTAATTCAGAAACAGTACTTACCATAATATAAAGGGAAGTACCTATCAACTAGTCCTTTTTTCAAAATTATATTCTAAAATATTTCCTTTACCATTCAAATCTGCTGTAAGATTAAAGTTGTCTGGTTTTTCTGTTTGCTTTGTTTTTTGCTGTTTCATCAGGAATTCAGAGTAATAATTCTATTTCTGGATTTAAGGTATTTTTACTGTGTGGGTTTAGCACAGGCGCTAAGGCAGTGCCCAGTAGACATCTGATGACTACTAGTCACTGTTACATGTTCAGCCTGGAACATAAAGCAGTTGTTTCTACAGAAGTATTTATAGGAGTTGGATTGGGTCGTGATGCCATATTGAGTCTAGAGCGTCTTTTCCTTGGAAGGTGGTGGGACTTGAGAGATGTCAGAGGACAAGGAGATGTGAGGACCGTGCTGAAGTAGGTCATAATCCCAGCATCTCACCCTGCTGCTGTAGCAGTGACTCTTTCCATGCACTTTATTTTCGGGGCTGTGAGTGAGCAGGCTCTGGGGTTTCAACTGTGGACCCAGAGGTCTGGCTGTCACTTGGCATGACTTGAACAAATGTGATGGCGTGTCCGGCGGAGACCGCAGGAGCGTATGCATAGAGCCCCCATGGAAGGAATATGCGGGAAGATGCCTGGAGGGAACCCACGGATTGCATGACTTCTTGAGTGGCTGCACGAGCCTCCTCCCTACGGATGGAAACGAGAACAGGCTCTGTGGAGAATGGGCCAGAGCTCGGGCCACAGAGACAGAGCCCATTGGCTGGTAATCCTCGTCTTCTTAGGATCCCAAAAGAAACTGACACAGATGTTCCAGGCTGGAAAACCTGTGGTGGTGCCGGGGCACGCCACAGATGAGTCAGCCAAGGGAAGACTTGTCATGCTGGGGGAGTCGGGAATGAGGCTGCAAACGTGGCTGCCTGCCCCGACAGCTGGGGCTGGCGAGTAGAGACGTGGCCAGTGGCCAGTGGCCAGGATTTGGAAGAGGAACCACAACTGGGGGAAGAAGCAGGAGCTCGGGGGAAAGGGCAAGTCTGTGTCTAGATGATGGTGAAGGGATCTGTATGATTCCTCCAGAGCTGGGCAAACACAGCATATGCCTGCTACCACTGCTGTGCACTTCCCTGCCATCCTGCTCTCTCATTCTCTTATTCCCACTCTCATTTAAAGATCGAGACCCAGGACTCAGAGAAATGAAGTTCGTTAGTTGTCAGAGGGGCACACAGAAACTAAGCAGCAGAGCAGGGAATTGGCCCAGATCTGCCGGTCTCTGGAGCCACCTGTTTGCCACCATGTCAGGGCTCCTCTCCGTCTCTCGTGCTGAGGCAGTGTCTCTGCCAAAGGCATCTTTTCTCTGACCCATGCACCCTAGGTCCCACCATGGGACTGGCACTTGGGTGCTTACACACACACATTGGGGTCCTAGCTCCAGCTGGCAAACACAAATGTATTCAAATCCATGTGAATTTTAGCTACCATGTTTATTTAGCCATTAAAAAGAAGTTAAGAACAAAGCATGACCTTCCTTTCCAAGTTTTCTAGGAAAATAGGCTTCCAGAAGAAGGTGTGTGTTTTCCCTGGGGGTCGAGGTCGCCACCCCCTCCAGGCTGTGTGCTCACCTCCAGGGCCATGATCACACTAGCATAAGTGGAAATACCGAGACTATGACCACATACCTGGCATTTGGTGTTTGGTGGTGCCAAAGGAGGGTCAGAAGGGGGAGGGTGCAGAAATCCTGAGAGTATTAAGGGGGAAAGGATGGGTGTTCCCAGACTGAAGCCTGTGTCAAATGAAAAGCTGCAAATGTGTAGAGATGTCAGTAGCCTAAAAACTAGAAGCAGTCAGGCAGGCACACAATCCCCACCATCTGGTTAACCCAGCACATCCCCAGTATTTTAAATCTGGAACTAAATATAGCTCCTTTCCGAAAAGGCACTCAGCTTATTAAGGAATGTAGAAAAGTAGAGCTTTGCATGTGCTTTCTGCAGATGATGGTAGAGAGCTCTAGACCCTGGCTTAGGAATTCCTAGTAAAGATGCAAGCCATTTCCTCTTTGTTGTTATCAGTTAGCTTTCGTTTTGTATCAAGCTCCCTAAACTTAGTGGCTTAAAAGAGCAACCATTATACTTGCTTGTGATCTGTAGATTGGCTGCGCAGTTCTTTTAAGTCTGGGCTGACTTTCCTGGTCCCCATCCGCAGGTGGCGTGGCTGGGCTGGAATGGTCTGGGATGGCCTTGCTCCCACGTGTGGTGTTGGGCAGGCTGGTTGAAGAGAGCCTCAGCTGGAGCTGCTTGCTTTGGCTCCATGTGGTCTCTTATCCTCCACCAGCTTGCCCGGGTGTCTTCCCATGGTGGTCTCAGTGTTCCGAAAGCAGCAAAGGAGGACAGGCCCCAATGCATTAAGTACCTTTCAAGCCTCTGCTTATAGCTCAGTTAATGTTGTCCCCATTGGCCAAAGTCAATACCTTGTCCAAGCTTAGAGTCCATGTGGGAGGAAACTACACAGGCCATGGGTACAGAAAGGCTACAAATCCACCATGCTGTAAGCCTGAGGTCTAACTCAGTAAGTAGTGGTTATTTCCACCTAATGCCACCAGAAGACAACTCTGAACAGTCTTGTGGTTCATCCTTGTGTAAAAAGGCAGTGTCAAGTAAAACCATAGGCAGAGTACTTAGTCATCGTTCTGGTGGCCTCACCTGCCAGTAAGTGTGGTGGAAAATCCCCCAAGAGGCTGTAGGCAAGAAGTAGTTGAAGAGCCAGACCTGGCCCAGCATGGGAAGAAAGACCCTCACCTCCCACACCCAAATGCAGGCAATCAAGTGGCAGGTCTGGTCTCTGAGGAACTGGAGCAAAAGAAACCACTGGGCTTAGAAGTCAGAGGTGGGTGATTTCCCAGGGCCAGCAAGACTGTTTCCCACGCCCAGGGGTAGAGAGGCTGAAGACAGCATTTGAGCTGGAGCTACAGAGGGAGAGGTGAGCAATAACGTGTGAACCTTCAGTACTCACATACCAACAAACCAACAAACAGGTGAAGAAACTCTTCCTGTCTCCCAGGAGGAGGGAAGAAACAGCAAAGTGAACTGAGAGAAGAGGAAGAGGGAATAATGCTAGTAACAACCAATGTCTTTTGAATGTCTGTCATATGCTGGGGATTGTACGTAGACTTTAATCCTCACAACGTCCTGAGGTTATTAGCCCCAATTCACAGATGAGGAAACTGAGTCTCAGAGAGGTTAAGGAACTTGGCCTGTGTCACTGAGCTCAGTGTTCTGGCCCAGGTCTGTCTGGCTCCATAGGGCTGCTCCTGTCTTTCCCCACTGCGCTGCTGATGTGGTCCACAAGAAAGAGCCTCTTCAAGCAGCAAGGGCTGCAGAGCCCTCCTACCGGGAGAGTTCTCGAAGACCCCAAAGGCCATCTCCCAGGCAGGAACGCTGGAAGATGCTCATGTAAAGGAAAATATGGCGGCCTCAGAAAGTGGCATGGTGACAGAAGAGTGAGGAAGGCATCAAGAGAAACCCCAGCATATTTATGGTTGGGAGTTCAGAGATACCCCAAAGGAGGCAAATCCTCTAGAACCTCCTCCCCATTCTGTGATCCAGTCTCCACCCGCACACCCCACTCACCCTCCCCAAATTAAAAGGGTCACCTTATAAGAAGGTCATTGATAAAGCAGAATAAATTCAATCAGGAATGACCAAGACAAAGAGAGGGTTCTGAAACCCTCAGGCTATTTAGCGAGGAGCTGTCAGCCGTCTTCAAGTGCCTAAGAAGCTGGCACGTGTCAAGAGCTAACTGGTTCTGTGTTGACCCACAGCTTGCAGCTAGAGTCAGCGTGCACACCTGTTGGGGAGACACCACAACATGTAAAACGAACTGTAAAGGCACAGAGATCTTGTTTTGTATCTTGTCACTGAGACTTGATAACCTGTACTCTTGAGTTTGGGTTTTCTGCCTGCATATTAGAAACGCATGTGTCTGCCCTGCAGAGTATGAAAGAGGTTGTGTCAAGAGCCCCACATGGTGGCTGGTTCATATTGTGCTCTGTGAATGGAAACCCAGGGAACACCGATTTTGAGCAGTTAGAAGTTCCTGGTCCCTGGAGAAGCAGAGCAAAGGTAGAAGCCTTCTAAGGGGAGGTGCGAGGGTAGCCGAGCATTGTTATTCTGCCCAAGTGGGGTATGTTTTGAAAACACTGTGGCCAGCGTTCACAGGTGAATGTTGTCGCCTTCCATGAACATCCCCTGGGAGCTGGGCCAGGCAGTAGAGGTTGTCTAGGGTGGAGGACAGAAACTGTCCTGGGTGGCCTCAATTGGTTAAGCGTCTGCCTTCAGCTCAGGTTGTGATCCCAGGGTCCTGGGATCCAGCCCCACATTGGGCTCCTTGCTCAGCGGGGAGTCTGCTTCTCCTTCTCCTCCCCGCTCCTGTTTTCTTTCTCTCTCTCTCTCTCTCTCTCTCTCTCAAATAAATGAATAAAATCTTGAAAGAAAGAAAGGAAAGGGAAGGGAAAGGGAAAAGGAAAAGGAAAGAAAGAAACTGTGACCCGGATTTTACTTAGGTTGTTTGGTCCCTATGGGGAGGTTTACTGTTGAACTGCTCAGATGAGCATTAGCAGGGACACCCCCAAGGTCAAGGTGGCCCAGAGCCACCCAGGCTAACACTTTGTATCTGGGATTGGGTTTGTCAGCATCAAGGGTTCACCTTCGTTGTTAGCACAGAAGGGACGACCTGCAGTGCCACAGTCAGGGAGACCCATGCTCTGTCTCATACTGTGACCTCAGCCTCCTTGGGGGTTCAATGTAGAAGCCAGTGTTTCTCACCAAGCACAGATTCTGCTGAGCTGCTTGTGTCTTTTTAAGAGACACTGTGTGTCTCTTTTTAACAGATCTGTGTGTGTCTTTTTAAACACTCTCAACTGGAGTTTATGAGGAATTTGAATTTTGGAAACAAAACATTTATTTGGGGTCCCAAATACATTAAGTCCTGGGTAGGATCAGCCAGGGTAGTATGCTGTCTTAGCCAGGATGCTAGAGAGCTTGCGAGGCTAGTGAGTGCCCTCCAGGTCAAGGAGGGGGTGTCCGCAGGAGGAGTTCCAGGCCATCTTGGGACACTAGGCACTGGTCCTTGCTTAGGGGTGGTGACTAAAGGGACAGAAGCAGTGGTTATTTGAAGGTGTAAAATTGGGATCTGTTTGTCAACAGAGATGTTGGTTGCCAAAGTACAGTCTCCATTGTGAGGTACAGGTATATTTTTGTTAGTCTTTTAGCAAATGTTCTCTTTTTATAGACAGTCTGACAAATCCCTTTAAAGGAGTGGTTCTCAAACTCCCTTGCAGGGTCCTTCCTGGGTTAGGGTCTGGGAAACAAGGGACTCCAGGGCTCTGGATCCTGCTTCATTCCCTACAGATACGCTTTTTTAAAAAAAATAGATGATATAAGATAGAATTCACAAACCATCCAATTCACCCAAAGTGCACAATTCAATAGCTTTTAAAGATTTATTTATTTATTTGAGAGAGAATGAGAGCATGCATGCACGCATGGACGCATACGCACACACACACACGAGGGGAGAAGGGGCAGAGGGAAAGGGAGAGAGACTCCCAAGTGGACACCACGCTGAGCTTGGAGCCTAAAGTAGAACTCGCTCTCATGACCCTGAGATCATGACCTGAGGCAAAATCAGGAGTCAAGCACTTACCCGACTGAGCCACCTCGGTGCCCCTCAATAGCTTTTGGTACATGTATTCACAAAGTTGTGCAACCCCAGCCCTCATCATGTGAGCAAATGAGCTTTTGTCTGATTGTGTCTATTGGGGCTCTGAAGGAGATTGTATTTGAAGGAGGAAAAGGTGCTGCCACTAAAATCAGGTTTGAAATTATTTTTGTCCTCTTACTAGAACAGGTTGGACCTTTTCTGAAGAGAGTGTGATTTTCAAGTTCTGTTTCAAATGCCAGAGAGAACAAGGAGAGAAACTTGACTGATGGGTTACACCCTCGAGCAGCCATTCACTTTTCTCACAGAAGGGCCTCATTCAGCATTTTTGAAAGTCGTTTTGCGCAGCTCTAACGTGATAAGGGGAAATGAGAATGGGTAGAGTGGGGCTGCAGAAGGCCGGTGGACACAGCAGAAATAGGGTCACCCATCCAGATGGGAGAAGGTCTTCAGTTAGCAGATGGGGCCACTGAGTGTAGGGACAAATCCTCTGGCATACTCCAGCCATCCCTAAAGGTGTGACTGTGGGACGTGTGGCAGTGATTGGCGTTCAGGTTAATGATTACAGTTTTTTAAAAGACCAGAATCATATCAGCAAAATATTCACCAAAAAAGGCTGAAGATTTAGAAGTTGGTTGTCCGAATGGGCTGAGCACGAGCTGGTCCGTCAAGACTTCAGTGTCTGGCACACGGTAAGTGCTCGATAAAAGCTTACATTTTTCTTTGGAAAGGTCCTGCTGGGAAGTGTCTCATTCTGTGTTGATGTCGGATAAACGAAGCATTCACAAACTGGTTTCCTCTTATTAATTTGAAGGGTGCATTCTCGGCTGGGCTCATTTGGGGGCAAAGACATAACCCGCTCTTGTTCTGCGACTAGGATTCACGCTTCCCTGCTGGAGGACTGGGCTAATTGGATTATTTTCAGTTGACAAACTTGGTTTTCCACCTCGGAGCACATGTTTATTGCCTCTGTTTTGTTCACAGGACGTGTTCCCGATTGGAGGTGAAGCCATGAGGAGAAAATAGAACAGACAATAATGCTTTTCCGCAGTCGCTTCTTGCTGGGGCTGGCCCTGGCGGGGCTGCTGGCCTTCGTGAGCCTCAGCCTGCAGTTCTGTGAGTATCGCCTGGTGCCACCGGCTCGTGGGAGCGAAGGGGGCTTCATTCTGAGATAGAGGGCCCTTGTGGGGAGGAAACAAACAGGCCCCAAAGCCTTTGTTTTTCAAACGAACAATGCAGTTTAAAACAACCGAGTCTTTTTATTATCAGTACTGACGGTGGATGGTTGTGAGTCCAAATCCTAAACTGCTGAGCTTTGTCCTGAGTGTCGTTTTCGGCCATAAGGAACTAGAGTGCTCACCAGGCCTCATGAAACGTTTTTGGCTTCTGCATAGATTCCTAAGCTGCCCAGTTATTCCCGGACTCTTAGATCCCCAAGGGGGAGACACCGAGCAGCCCAGCGTGAGCCGGGGTGTTTAGCCTGCTGGTTGGTTCTTTGAGGGTTGGGCGTCTGTTTTCTGTTCAGTGGGCTGTGAGGCTGCAGTTGTTGGGGAGGGGAGGGGAATTAGGTACCAAACTCAGTTTCCTGGGCAGCAGAGACCACACACGGGGCATCTCGTGTGGTGAGGCAAGGGCAGGGCCGATGAAGCCAGTCCATGGATCTCACCGCCCAGCACTTTGTCCTTCACTGGGCGCCTGTGTTCAGGTTCGACCCCAAAGCTGCATACCCCACTGCTCCCGCCAAGAGAGGCCATCCTCAAACACAGATCTGGCCCCAGCACCTCCTTGGTTGTAACCCTGCAGGGGTGGCCCATGCTGTCCGGGAGGCTCTCTGTACTCCAGTGGCCCCTCTCTCATGCCGAATTGCTTGGCGTTCTCTACGCATTTACCCTGTTCTCTGTGCCCAGATCCCGCCAGCCCCTCTGCCTGGAGCACCATCCTCCTCACGCCCCTCCCATCCTTTCCCCACATGGTTCACTCCATCTTTTTCTCCACTAGGAACCTCCCAGGACTTCCCCCCACCCCCTCAACCGGGTCTGATGCTTCTTCGGTGTGCTTCCAGGATGCCCTAAACCTGTTCCCCTCCTCACACTAGCCATGTGGTATTCTAATGTTCAGTTCTTGTGACTCTTCCTCTTACAAGACTGTTCTCTGAGAGCAGAGACCATGTCCTGTTTCCCTCTATACCCCAGGAACTGCACTGCCAACCACACAGTAGGTGTTTCATGACTGTTAAACGAATGAATGAATCTACACCTGCTCTGAAAAGCAGGCTGACCCGAATTCCCTCTCCTTCTGGTGCCGTATACTCAAAGCTGAGAATGTCTGTCCTATGCTTGGAATTGCGTTTTTGCTGTCACCTGCCTTCCCTCCATCTTACCACCGCACCCTGATGGATGGGAGATACGTGGTCGGCACCCATCACTGCCTAGGATGGCTCTGTGAGGAGGTGGCATTTCTGTCGCAGTTTGAGTGATGGGAAGAAGAGCAGGTGGCTCAGCAAGTGAGATGTTCTGAGAGCGCTGAGGAATGTGGGAAAGACTTGGCATTTGGAATAAGTGGTTTGAAGAGAGGAGGCTTTGAGCAAGTTTCCCCTGATACACCTCCAATTTGTGACATACTCCATGCACACGTCTGGTACCCACGACAGGCTGTTTCTAATACTAAAGACAATTAAAAATACTCATTTTATCCTAACAGAATGGGAAACGAGGTCAAGAGTAGGTGGGCATAGGAAGTTTAAAGATACTCCAGATGGTTAATGAACCATCAAATACAAATCCTTTCCAAAAAGTGTGTTAGGACTCTTAGTAGTTTAATTGTTCATAACTTTTCATTAAAAATTTTCCATCCTTTGGCCGGGGAGGTAGGAGGTTACAATCAACCTTGACTTTTTATTCTACGAAGCTGACAAGATCTGAGACATGAATGTGGGTTACTTGTGTTTGCTGCGTTTCTCTTGCATGAGGTGGTTTCCACGTCACTGAATTGGCCAGTGTGTTTTGCTTATATAACTCTTCTGAAAGTACCTTCTGTTTTAGGAGAGCCAATTTTCAGTCATAGTTTTTTTTAAGGGAAATTTTGCAGGGTAAATTAGCCTGCCCGGGTTGGAGCTCTTTATTCTTGGATACGTTGGAGTTCGGAAGGATATTAAGATATGGATGTTCTTACTGCTCTTCTACTTCTAGGTAAACTGTAACTTTGAAACTTACCCATTTCTGTAGATACGGAGTTTAATTGCTTTATTTATTTAATTGTGTTGTGGCTTGCTGGTTATTACGGTGTAAGGAACTGCACTACTTGGTAATACAAAAGCATACCTTTAACTAACATTTGTGTTTTCATTCTTACCCTAAAATATGTGGACTTTTTTTTCATCATTTCTTTTGACTAATTTTTGAATAAATACCAGATTAGCACATATAATTATTTTAGGTAATATATGTGAGGCGATCAAATATAACTTGGTTTTTCTCAGGCTTTAAGTGAACCAGTATAGTTTGCTTTCTGCAATGATCATGTATTTTATTTTGTCCTGTTGGCTTTTTCTGATGTTTTGAATATGAGAAAGTTACGACCCGGGTTACAATTTAAAAATCAGGTTGTTTAAATAAGCATTTCTTCCTCTTGGTACAGAAAGTAGGGTCTGTGACCCCAGATATATTTATTAAGTGCTTATATGTGTCAGGCATTTTTCTACAGTGTCGGGTGGAGGTGGATGGAAAGGATATAAAAAAGGTTAAGATACAGTTCATAGTTTCTCAAAATATGTTTACTTTAAATGGTAGTAATGACTTGCTGTAGGCTAACAGCCTTTAATGAAAATCATTCATTTTGTCTTTTCAAGTCCTGGATATTTTTGAGTTTGGAAATAGGGAAACTCTGAAATTCCTGATATCCAAATTGCAGAAGGGAACAAGTAAGACATACCTATCTTTAGTTATTCTATTTTTTCTTTTTTTTTTTTTTATTTTTAAAGATTTTATTTATTTATTTGACAGAGACAGAGACAGCGAGAGCAGGAACACAAGCAGGGGGAGAGGGAGAAGCAGACTCCCCGCCGAGCAGGGAGCCCGATGCGGGACTCGATCCCAGGACCCTGGGACCATGACCTGAGCCGAAGGCAGTCGCTTAACCAACTGAGCCACCCACGCGCCCTATCTTTAGTTATTCTAGTTAAAATGTGTACCAGTGTAAAAATTACTTCTCAGATTAAGGGACTTCTTCATTGCAACAGGGCAAAGACCGCCAGCATGTAAAGACTTGATTAGTTGTATTTCTGCCTTTTCTGCTCTTTTTTGTAATCATCCATTTTTCCTCCTTCAGCCCAGCCTGTACCTAATTCTTATTTTATGCTCATGTCACCATGTTCCAATGGCCATTCCCAAAATGGCAGCGCAGCGGCAACGCACAGGCTCTGGAATGACAGCCTTGGGCTTGGATGCTGCTCTGCCACGTGGCAGCCGTGCGCCCTGGGCAAGACGGACCTCTCAGAGCCTCTGTTTCTTCTTCTGTAAAATGGAATGAGTTGTGGCAGCTGCAGCATCAGTGTGAGAACAGAGACCTTGTGGGAAACCCCTTGGCTTGTGGAAGCGTAGTCAATGTAAACCTTTTTTTTTTTTTATTTTTTATTGTTATGTTAATCCCCATACATCACATCATCAGTTTTCGATGTAGTGTTCCAGGATTCATTGTGCATAACACCCAGTGCTCCATGCAGAACGTGCCAATGTAAACCTTTTAAGCAACAGCACTGAATCCCATCGCCAGGTACCATCTTCAGAAACCAGGGCTCTCGGGGTCCCAAAGGCTGCCAAGGCTTGTGTTCCTTCAGCTGCTTGTCAGAGAGGAGGCTTCTGAAATATATCCTACTTCTTTTTGTTTTTGATCAGAGTTCATTGGCATGATAGTGGCCAGTCTACACTGAGCACATGGCAGTATATCTGGGGGTGATTTTCCTGGGCAGCGCCCCAGTTGACCAGAGCAGCTTCTGAGGAAAATACCGAAGATGGACTGGAGGTTCAGATCCCCAGGCGGAAGAGGGAAGGTTACCCCGCAGCAGTGAAAGCCAGGATTGTCTTCAGTATCTCAAGAGCCCTTTCTGCAGGAGTCAGACTTGTTCTGTGTGGCCCAGGTGACCATGGGGCCACATTCCAGTGGAGCGTCCTAAAAGTCAGTGGCATGCAGAGGTAGAATGCATGGGGTGCAAACTCTGGAGCATTGCTCTGTGAAGAGGAGGATATTAGGCAGGTCATCAGGCCTGATTCCATTTAAAGTCTCTTCAAACTCTGAGGTTTTAGGAATTTTATCTTTTCTTGTTGATCCAGTGCCATGAGTGTGTACAGCTTTGTCCTTCAGCAAATGTTCCTTGAGTTTCCACCCTAGGTTAGGTCCTGGGCTGGGAGCTTAATCCCTCAAGGACCACAGCAGCTGTGTGTCCTACTGGGGGAAAATCACGAGCAGACACTTGGAATACAGTGTGTGATGTGCTAGGACAGGTAAGAGGTGATAAATAACATGTAAGGTGATGGCGGGGGGAGGGGGGACAGTGGTGGAGCGCACGGCTCTAAGAAAAAGCCAGACTGCCCAGATTGAATCCCTGTCCTGCCACTTACCAGCTAGGTGACCTCAGCCATGTTATTTACCCTCTCCCTGCCTCAGTTTCCTCATCTGTAGAATGGGGATAACGATAGTCCCTATTTCACAGGGTTAGTAAAGGATTTAGTGAGCTCATATTTTAAGACACCTATAACAGTGCCTGACACACAGTGATCACTGTATGTGTGTTTGTTAAATAAAATGAATTAGAGATCATTTATGGCAGGGTGATATGGGAGGATAGAGGACAAGAAGCTAATCCAGTCTGGGAATTCAGGAAGACTCCCCAGCAGAGGTGACATCTGAGCTTCATCCTTGAGGGGTAAGTAGGAGTTGGCCATGGAGGAAGGTGGGAGGGGCATTCCTGCAGATGGAGGTGGGTGTGCAAAGACAGAGTGAAAGAGAGTAGGACCCAGTTAGTCACCTATGTGTAGCTATTAAGTTGGACAAACGCTGGGGCCACCTCCATCCCTACATTATATCCTGAAGGCTGTGGGGAGCCAGCCACTGGAAGTAGG